TTACAGTCATACGCTTACAGGTATGGATATTGATGAAGTATACTACATTGATTAAGTACATGTTTGCATCTCATCTCATATGATCCTGACATTTTCATTACATTACATTGCCTGGTTATTATTATTGCCTCACTAAGTCGATGACTTAGCGTGTGAGTGTTTCACACGTAGGATCCGAGGAATTAGACGAGACAGGTGAAGCAGCTTGACAGTATTACTCCTGCAACCATCAGATCAGAAGCAACTTAATCAGTAGGTCATTTTGTTATGTAAATGGCAGTTGGCATGTAATTAAAGAGTTAAGTTGTGTATGCTCTGAATATTTTGGTAAACTTATATTACAGTATGTATATTATTGTATTTTCTTAATATAAGTACAAATATTTTACTATTATTTGTTAAGAGTTGTGTTTTAAAGTCAATGTAGTATCTCTGACTCATATCCGGGTCGGGTATGGGTTGGGGTGTTACATAAAGAGTAAACCAAGGAAATAAATGAAACCAATAATAATAAACATAAAATAATTGGATGAAAAAAATGAAATTGAATAAAATAAAATAAATGAAGATAAAATATATATACAAAAAGAATAAAAAAAGGTAAAGTGTTTTTTAAAAAAGAAAAATAATAATAAGAGCAAAGAAACTAAAAATATAATGAAAATAAATAAATAGTATAAATAAAATAATAAAAAATATATAAAAATATAAAAATATATGTATAATATAATAAAATACTAAATAGTAATAATAATAATAAATAAATGAAAAATAAATATACATATAATATTAACTAAAAAAATAGTAATCATATAAATATAAAATAAAATAAAGTAAGAATATATATATAACGTTAGGAAAATATAGTAAAAAAACATAGTAAATAAGTAAACATAGATAAAAAAATAATATATATATATATATATATATATATATATATAATAGGAAAATAATATAATATAACGCAAAGAAAAATAAAAAAATATAATAAATAAATAATTAAAATATAATTAAATATATACATATATACATATAAATATAAGGGTTAAATTAAAATAAAAATGAATTAGGGTCAAAATTAAAAGCCAATCGAAGAAAAAAAACGACAAAACACGCGGATCCACACGACCCGTTTATAAAAATCCGAATAGTTTTTTAAAAACACAAGCCTCGAGGACTAGATCTACAAAAATATATCTCGAAAACGTCCCCGTTCATCGGCCGAAAACACTTCTCTCAGTTTTCTTTCGAAATCAAAACACAACAAGGGTAAGGAAAAATAACATGCGAAGGTATGAACTTTACCTTTCAAAATATAAATGCTTCGAAAAATGGCTACGAGTTGCTTGTAATTTTTTGCTTGGTATTTCGTATATCCTCCTCCGAATGTGTTACAATAGTGAGTTACAATGACTATTTATAATGCTTGTGGATCCTATCTTTAGGAGTTTAAATAATAGTAGAACTCTATCATATTTTTAGAAGTTTAGTTTAAATCCTAGCAAAATTCTATCCTACTTTTAGGAGTTCGAATCCTAGTAGGACGAAAAGGTGTGTTGACAAGAACCATCGTCAAATTTCATTATTGTTTATCTGAATTGTCCTTTTCTTATGGAAGATATGGTCTTGAGTGCAAAATGATACTAACTTCAAAAATTCATTTGGAAATTTTATGCTTCCTTCATGCATGCCTGTCAAATTATCATTATCGAATCGGCAAATTATTGGTACAAAATGGCTAGAGTTTTGTGAGTTGAACTATGTTTAGATTAGATTTGAAAAGTTTGTAGTGTAACTCTTTTGGTAAAAGTTGAGAGGGGAATATAGATCTACCATGGATGTAGAGACTCTCTAGTTGAAGCCCACCAGGCCATCACTAATCTAAATACGGATTTTAACACGCATCAAATCTAGAATTACACTTCTTACGTTAATTTGTGACTAGAGTAAGAATTCCTAAGAAAAAAATTCATTATAATATTTTTCATCGAATAATTAGTTTATAAATAAAATCATAGGGGTCATGATTATTATTAGACTCATACTTAGAATCATTTAAAAGTCTTGATTAAACTGCAAATCTCTTGTAATATTGTTATTTTAATGACTGTGTTTTCTCTTTTTTGTGCAAGTTTTCTCTCTTATTGATTCACTCATCGTTATTTTATAACAATAACTTGTAAATCAAGTTAGACTTTTTAATGACCGTATGAAGTGTATCTTCTCTTAGTACCACAAGTACTTTATTATTTTTTCGGTAAAAAGAGACTAAATCATGGTTTACAGATGCTCAGACAGCAACAACCGCAGACAAATCCTTCTGTAATTGAACGTGCACCTCCATCGGTGGTGTCAGAAACTTGATGCAATCATTAGTATCTCCATCCGTCAATTTCGTCATACAATCTACCGTTTTGTTTCCGTTGTGAAGAGTGTGAATGAATTTCAAAATCCACTCCCTATGCAGCAATTCCTCGATGTGATGCAACATAGTTATTTGGCTATGACTCGCTTTTGACATTGAAATTTCTTTATAACTTTCTTGCTGTCGACTTCCATAAGGACCTGAGCGAAACCCAGTTCCTTCGTACATAACAACCCTTGGTAAATACTTCAAATTTCAGCCTCCAAGACGGAACAAAAATACCAATGAATTTAGAAAAATCCATTAGCCATCGACCCCCATGGTTACGAATAAGTGTTTACGATTTTAACATCTCAAATACATTTTCTTTTATTAGAATCCATATTATTAAAATATTCTAAATTCATTAATATTTTTTAAAAAAATATGATTATTTATGTGTTAGATTTCAATTTCCAATCGATGACATTGAACTGAAATTCGATAAAATCTTAGATTTATGAGATGTCCAAAGAGTTCATTGGTAACTCCAAATTAACAATAACACGGCAAGATTTAATAGGTTAAACCGAGCATAGACACGAAGAACCATGAACCAATATTGCTTGTTTCTTCCTTAGAAATTGTTTCCTGAAAATTTTCCTGGCTAATTCCTTGAGTTTTCATCCATCTTTTTTGTCTTCTTTTCTAATTTGTCTTCATTGATCACTTGAATATTTTTGTAGCAAGGATTCCTTGAGATTTGTAGATTTTCTACAACTTCAAGATGTTTACTCTTCACCAACTTCATACTGATTTCCAAGTTTCAACAGCTCTTTAAATAAACCATCCTATATCTTCAACATTCAATAATCACATGAATAGATGTTAGTTTCTTGGTCAATATCACATGAATAGATTTTGGTGGAAATGTCTAAAGCAGTCAAGTTCCATTGATATATGAAGTATGTCTGTCGCTTTTATTTGAAAATTTTGATTTTCGTATGATTTCATCGGTTAAAGAGATAATTATCATCTCTAAAGATTTGAGTACGATATTTGTAGAGATATTTGATAATTATTATTAAATAATTGAAAATCTTTTGAACCAATATTATGTTATACATACTAATTAAAATTAATCCTTAAAGTTTAATCATATTGAAAAACTATATTTTTCTTCTCTCTCAAAGCTAACTTGCTTACTATACACATTTGTTTATGGATAATACTTTTGGAATTTTCTGGATTCTCAATATAGAAAAAGCTGCAAACCAAACAGTTATTAATGGAAATGTTTTTCAATAAGCAAACTCTTTATTTTTCTTCATTGTTGCAGTGAATAATAAAATAAACTTTTTGTTCTCAGTAGTTGAGTGTGGGGACAAAGGGAAAGACCTGGCCACCTTACAACACACACAAACTTATTTTTTTGTATTGATATTGGGAAAGGTTAAAGCTCCTTAATCATTATATATTATATACGTAAAGTTTATTATTTTAATTATTTAGATTCTGTGACAAATATGGGTATATCTTGTTAGGACTTAGGAGCTTGTTTTGTCCCAAACAAAGAAGGTTTAGACAAATAGAACCCCCACAAAATGTTTACTTTCAGTTTCCCCTTTCATCCCTTTTGAGGTCAGAGGGTACTTTTGTTATTACCTTTTGCTTAGTGTTCATAATCCTTTATATTTGGAAGGACTTGCTTCAGACATTTAAAAAAGATTTTGGGATTTTACTAAGGATCATTGGGTGATGAACCTGTTCGATAATATAATCAAATGGAAGTTTGCCGGATAGCCTAAATTATTTGCTTCAGTATTATTGTTCTAGATTGGTTGAAAAGCCAACTCAAATACCAGCTTTTGTTAATGGCCTTGTTGGTTGAAATATTTTAACACTTTATTATCAAACTAACCATATTTTCACCAATGTTTAAGCAACCATTTTGACGCAAGAAATGATGGTTTTGTTAATTGATCAGTTGCTTGAGTTGACAATTATGAGACAGAAACTTCTGTCATATATACATACATGTGATAAGCTGGTATTCACATTTGTGTCAAACAAGTTGGCGAATCATGCACCAAGTTCAAGCAATGTGCTGAGCTAATGTCATGGCTACAGTGAAGTTGGAGAGGAAAAAAGACAACTTGACCTTTAGATCTTTTTCAGATTTTGTTGAGAAAAGATGTATGAAGACAAGAATTTCATATGGCCATGTAGCTCTGCAGTTTTGGCTTATTATTCAGGGAAATAATATGATTCATGTAATCTTAGATTTCATTTATTTGTATAAAAGTTTAATCTCAAAAAATTGATCAAAGGAGATATAGAGTTATGAATTTACTTTAATAGTTGACTTTTGATCTCTGTACTCGAATAATATTCCTATGTTTAACATGTATGAAACTGAATGGATTGAAGTATTATACAGTATAATGTAGATTGTAATTACAGCATGAGACATGGTAGGAAGGATGGTCAACAACTCCCACTTGCTTCTCAACAATGGAAAACGACAAGAATGCGGAAATATAAATAAATGATTTCGAAGACTTATTCGTTTCTAAGCTCTATACAGTCATAGACCAGTGTTCATCTTCCTTCAATTGTCTACTTTAGAGACCTTTGGTAGTCGGTTGATTGAAGAACAGTGCCTACTTTTAGACATCTATTTGACAATTGACATGAAGGGGGTGTAGTGTCAAAAAAAAATCAAAGCTTTCTTCTTCCCTTAGCCCACTTACATCTTTTAATGTAAAGAGAAAAAAGAGAGGCTCCTCAAGTTGCTGAATCTATGTGGTTTATAGAGTGAGTGAAAGTGAACAGCTCAAGGAAAAGAGAAAGAAACACTGGTCAAAAGCCAACAAAAGTCTCATCTTTTTCTTAGCCGTATTTTTGGGTTTTTATGCAAAAGCATTTTTCAGTCCAGGCTGCTAAGTGTCAGGCTATTTTTTATCAGCAAAATGATCACTTTCTGCATGTTAGTTGGTTCCCATGAAAATGAAAGAAGACAAGTCTAGTTTTGAGTGTAATAAAGGGTCTCTGAGAACCCATTTGTTCTTTCTTTTCTTCTATCAAAATTACGTACTCTGCTCGTTCATCTTCCTCAAAACTCTCTGGTGTTCCCTTGTTTTTTTTCTTTTCTATCTTCTAGAGTCTAATCGGTAAAGAGCTAAAGGTCTCTACTTTGTTCCGTTTTCAGCCATCTTTTGGTCTTTCTGGTCAAATATGAACCATTTTTTTCTCAGATACCATTTTCTCAGTGATGGGGTTTCAAAGCAGTAGAGAAAGTGAAATGTTGGGGTTGAAAGTGTTATCTTCAAGACATAAGCGTTCCAAGAGGTGACTGTTCAAAAATCTTTTGTTTAGTTTGCTATCACATTTGTTGTAAATGTTAAACTTTTTCTCTACACAGTTCTGAGATGGGGTTTCCTTTAAAGGGAAAAAAACTCGGAAGTTTAAGCATTTACACAGAAGTATAAAACCTTATTGATTTGGGTCTATGTCCATACTTCCTGGTTTTGGTCTTCATTAAATACTTTTAGTGGTCCAGCTGAGTTCCAAAGGGAATTTATTTAAATCATGAAACTGCTTGAAATCTAGCTTCTGCCATCAATGGCTGTCCTCAAATCCTGCATTTTGCAAGTTCTATCTATTGATTTTCGGTGTTTGATTTTGTCACATAGCAGCTTTCCTGGTAAGCAAAGAGATGAAGAAGAAAGTTTGGATAACTCCCTTGAAGAATTAAATCATATAAAGCTGGTAATTATTTCCCTTTTTCTTCAACACTAAGTAATTTGTAAGCAAATTATTTGATTATCTTATTGGTTTTTTGACTAATGACTACTTTTCCCATTCATCCAATGCAAAGGCCTAGTAAAGTGCCAGTCATATAAATTATTACAAGGATCTCTTTTTCCCTGTTCTTCCCCACGTTTCTTTTTTTTTCTTTTCTTTTTTCCTCCTTTTTCATCGTATGCATATTATGATAGTTTATAAGAGGAGTTTCAAAGTGGAATTACATAATAAAATTCTTTGATATAAATCTTGATGGAGCTGAATAAAATATTGTATTTATGCATGAAAAAAACTGGGGTATAACCATGCAAGGCTAAAGAATTGGTGCTAAAGAACATATCTCCATTGGCCAATGTTCTGATTGATGTATGTGGCACCAGGATATGAGGCGCTTGAAGAACTCTGCCAAAACCCAGAAGAAGCAATCTCCCACCCCAAGCTCCGAGGTCCGAAGCTCTTTGAAGCAAGAGGTCTGCAACTGAGTCAGTTCTATATCACTTTGGTCATCTTTAGGTGTTTACAAGGCTTGAATTCTGTTCAGGAGTGGCTTATTCTGGTCATTTATGACCCAAGATTAAGCTGAAGCTCTTAAGTTTTGAAGTTCTATTGCTCATTTGGTGCAGATTTTGCAGCTTGAGAAAAGATTCCAAGATCAGTTTGAGATTCGCCGTGCTGTCGAAAAAGCATTTGGTTATAGAACCAAATCCCATGAAGGTACAAATGAAACATCAGTATCCATCGTATCTAAGGTAACTCTAAATTCTTATTCTCTGGGATTTTTTCTGTTTTTCCTCTCCTTCATGTGTTTTATTTGTATCACTCTGGACACTGATTCTTCTAGTCTTAATGAACAATTGAATTCTCATTTATGTCAATTTTTTACCTTAGCTTTTCTTAGAATCTTGTCTTAACTTTTCACTGTTTCAATATACATTCTTTATGTCTCCCTCTTGACAGTTGACTCTGCTTTTCTACAGCCAGCTACGGAGCTAATCAAGGAAATTGCTGTTTTAGAATTGGAAGTTGTATGTTTGGAACAATACCTCCTCCCCCTGTATAGGAAAGCCTTTGATCAAAAAGTGTCTTCAATTTCACCAGCTAAAGGAGATGAAAGGTTAAAAACATCAGCAGATACCCCAAGTAGAAGGTATGAACTGTTAAAAACTCCAGTAGCTACCCCAAGTAAAAGGTATTTGGAGTTTTCCGGACCTGATGATGCATCAAAAGTTGAAAACTCGGCCGTGAGGACTGGTTACAGTGAGAATTCAAGGAATGAGCCTGTTGGCATTGTAGGAGAAAAACTATTAGATTCTGGTGTTCTTCGCTGTCATTCCTCACTATCACAGCATTCACTATTTCCGAGTTGGGAATCTCCTCCCCCTGGAAGGTTAAAAACACCGGTAGATATCCCAAGTGGGAGATTCTTGGAGTTTTCTGGACCTTATGATGCATCAAAAGTTGAAAATTCAGCTGTACAGTCTGGTTACTGTGAGAAATCATGGAAGGAGACTATTGACATTGTAGGAGAAAAACTATTAGATTCCGGTGTTCATCGTTGTCATTCCACACTATCACAACGTTCAGCATTTCCAAGTTGGGCATCTCCTCCAGATGAGACTTTGGCTGATAAAGCTGTACGTGCATGTCATTCACAACCTTTGTCCATGCTGGAGGTATCTTACTTTTACCATGCATTCTTCTCAACATTTCTGTTTCGTTGTACTTAACGTTTTCGATTAAATGCTGGTCTGTACGAGACAACAATTTATCTTTATGGGAGAATAATCTCTCATATGATATGTATGACACTTTGAGGAATTTATGGTTGCTTGGTTCTCTACAGTATGCTCAGAATGCATCGAATATAATCAGTCTAGCCGAGCATCTTGGCACTCAAATTTCCGATCATGTCCCAGACACACCAAACAAGCTTTCAGAGGATATGATCAAGTGTATGTCTGCTATATATTGCAAGCTTTCAGACCCTCCTTTGATTCAAAACAGCTGTTCATCTCCCAATTCATCCATGTCATCATCGGCCAGTGTCTTTTCCCTGCCGGATCAGCATGAGATGTGGAGTCCAGGGTTCAGAAATAATTCATCTTTTGATGTACGGTTAGAAAACCCTTTCCACGTGGAAGGACTTAAAGAGTTTAGTGGACCATATAGCACAATGCTAGAAGTGCCATGGATTTTCAGAGATAGCCAGAAACTGGCTGATGTCGAAAACTTACTACATAATTTCAGGTGAGTCTCCTAAGTCATCAGAAGAAAACCCGGTTCTTATGATGTGAGTATTCGTGTGTTTATCTAATAGTCATGTTATAGGTCTCTTATTTGTCGATTGGAAGAAGTCGATCCAAGGAAGTTGAGACATGAAGAGAAGTTGGCATTCTGGATAAACACACACAATTCATTAGTGATGCATGTATGTATTCTCATCAACGAAAAGAATCTGCTGTTATAGATTCAGTTCCGGTTTCACAGATATATTGTATTAAGTCTTTCCTTCTATGATATAGGCTTTTTTGGCTTATGGTATTCCGCAAAATAATGTGAAAAGACTATTTCTACTGTTGAGGGTAAGCTAGCTTGTCTTCATTTCTGCTTCTCTTGAATGATGAAACTAATACTGGTATGTGTTGTCTTATACGTTGTACTATTCAGGCTGCATATAACATTGGGGGGCACACTGTCAGTGCGGATACAATACAGAGTTCCATCCTTGGATGTCGTATGTCACGCCCCGGACAGGTAGATCTCAAGCTTCATCTTTCATGTCCTCGATTTTCATTCTTTAATCACTTGTGATTGTTAAAGGTTTCTCCTACTTGTAGTGGCTTCGATTGTTAATTTCTTCGAGGAAAAAGTTTAAAACTGGAGACAGAAGGCAGGCATATGCAATTGAACATCCAGAACCACTCTTACACTTTGCACTCTGTTTGGGAAACCATTCCAATCCTGCGGTACTATATCGTCTTTATTCCGAGTTTTCCCCCCTTTCTATTAGCTCTAATGATAGAATGTTTAAGAATCCGTTGAAAGATGTTAATTTTTTTTCTTGGTGTTATTTTTTCCACATGCACATTGTCGGCCTTCTAATCATGTTTATTCTTTTCACTAGGTTCGCGCCTACACGCCGAATAAAGTATTTCAAGAGCTGGAAACTGCTAAACAGGAGTACATCAGAGCTACATTTGGTGTCCGCAAAGACCTGAAAATTGTGTTACCAAAGATAGTAGAATCATTTGCAAAGGACTCGAGTCTATGTCAAGTCGGTATCGTCGAAATGGTCCAACAATCTTTGCCCGAATCCCTCCGTAGGAGCATTAGAAAGCGTCCGGTAAGCAAATCCCGCAAGAGCATAGAATGGATCCCTCACAATTTCACCTTCAGGTATCTAATATCTAAAGAATTAGTAAGATGATTGCCCTGTAAGCATCAATGGCAGGATGCAGTTTGCAAGCATTTACCATTTGGTAAGATCTCACATTTTCCTTGTTCAAAATAGAAATGGTAGGTGTATGTTTTGTGATGTAATTGTTATGCAATTTGCATTAAGGTTTGTATACAGTTTTGCCTATGTGACGCATGATTATATAAGTATCTATGAAATTCGAGTTTAATCCAATTAAGTCATACAATCATGATATTCCCAACAATGATTCGAATTTAAGTTACCTTTCTGTTTTCGTCATTAAAAGAAAAATCTGTTTCCTCTGATATGTGTAAACATTAAAATTCCCAACAACCTAAAGAATTCCTTTTGAATTGAAATCAGCAGATACAGAAAAACTTTGGTGCATTAATTGGCCTGGCTTTTAAAACTACGCGAGGGCGTGTAGTCCAAGCCATTCATTTGACATGATTGTATTTACAATTCCATTTAAGTTTTTATAATATCAAGCTTCGGAGGGAACAAAAATGGCGATGTGTTCAATAATCTGTCGCCAAACCAAGTTAGATGGATCGCTACTTTTCGTAAGTGAAAACACCAATCCCAAACCGTACTTTTACAATCTAAATCATATAACATTAATCACATTTATGGTAAAAATAAATGCAAAAGCGGTAGCCAAAAAATTTACCACCTTGATCACGTAAGGATGAGTTTGGAGTTACTTGAGGAGAGGTCCACACCGTGCCTGCCAAGGCCAGAGCTAGCTTTAATGGCCAGGGAACACAAGTCGGGCAAGGAGAGCGGTTTATCAGATTGGGATAGTGGCAACAAGAAGTAAATTTGTCCCGGTTAAAGCTCCTCGTTAGCGGGCACATGGGGCACGCAAGTGCCGATAGACATGGACTCGGAGCTGCAAAGGAAGTGACCGGGATTCTGAGAAACGATGTTGTTGGCTTGGAGCGATTGCCTGAACTCTTGAACACGACCGTCCGTGTGAACCACCTTGGCTGATGCCGATGACTGTTTGACTGCACCCGATCCTCCTCCGACAGTTTTGGCTGATCTTGAGGTTGAAGTTGAGGATACACAGGCACCCATTTAGCTTTGTCCTCCAACAACTTTTTGGTTTATTGGGTGTTTCATGAAAGTCTAGAGAAAAAGGGCGACCTTTTTTATAGCTCCCAAAGGTCAAAGCGCCAGCTGAGTCGCCAGTTGTTGCACAGCATCACTTGCAGCATCGAGTAAAGCCCAAACATACATTTTATTAAAAATTGAGCGGAAAACCTTAATTAAGCAATCTTATACAAATTGATCCAAACATTTGATAACCAAAGCCCAAAATACATTCCAAATCCTACTTTTAATGTATTTTAAAGAAAGAAAGCAGCTCAGAAGTGCTTGAAATTTATTATAATTAATCAGAGATAAAACCCTCATTAAATCTATACACGATTCAATCATCGCTGCTCTCCCTCAGTTTTCATTTTCCATCCAAAAACATCCAGAAATTAAGTTCAAATTCATAAAACAAAATTGCTTATCAAAGAATTTGCAAATATATACAATTATTCCTCAGTAAACATTAGATCAAAATCATTGTTTTGATAACAGACTTTTTCTTCAAAACATAAGAACAGCAGAAAAATCTGGGAGTTTCTTGAGGCATTCAGAATGAGTAGGAGGTTATAGATCATCAAGATAATCAGATAATGTTTGAATAAATTCATCCTCATTATGCCTGTGTGCGAATTCCATTTACAAAAGATCCAAAAACACCTTGGTTTTTCTAAAACAAATCAAGAATACATAAATCAAAAGGACAATGGATTTCTTTCAGACAAATGCCTCGAATTGTCGTCAAGATTGAAAGAATGGAAAAGATCGGACTCGTCATCGTTTTCGATCATCACTAAGAAACCCATAACCGATGAAGCAGATAAAACCATTTAAACTATAAAAAACAGCTAAGCTAAAGATGAAAGAAGATGATGAAATAAAATGTTTCTATTCATCTCTGAGAAACTGCAAATATCACAACGATTACATAGCGGCTGGCTTTCCTTTATAGGCCAAAAGTGCCTTAGGGTTTAGGGTTCACTTTGTTGGTTCGATTTTACCCTCCAAACTTGAGAAATATATTAGAATAGCCATTGGGTATAGCTCTCATATCTCCCATCCTAGGTTCCTTAAATTAATAAAAAAAAATATGAAACAAAGGAATATTACCGCAACGAAGTTCAACCACGAACAGCTATCAAGATATTTTTTTTATTTAGTGATCTTAAGCTAAATGTATGAGTTCAAGTTCACACAAAATAAAATAATATAAATGTTCTTTACCACTCGTCTAATTAATAAAAAATAGTTTTTAGGATTTTATAATTGATTTTGATTTGTTTTATTTACCTTATTTGTTTGATAAATATTAATCACATCAAATTGGATATAATTATAAGGATGATAAATTTGTTTTTATTAAAACATTTAAGGTTGTCACATTTTAATTATATTCTTCCTTAATCTACCTCAAAAATAAAACTATCGTTATTATTTCTTCGTCTTTTGAGCATTGAAACTTTCAAAGTTTTTGAAATTTCACATCCTACACGAAATTAACACTCTTTACATGATTTCGAATAAGTCCAAGTAATATGTCATAATCAAATCAACCATCTATCAACCATATTTTTTAGAGAAAATAACCTCAGTGACCAAAAATACCTTATAATATACGATTTTAACCAATTTTTTTTTTGATTTGCCAAAATGACCAACTAAATCGCAATGCGATCGATAATTCGCAACGCGATCTCTGGTATCGCAAATCAGTTTCCAGATTCGCAACGCAATTCTTACTATCGCATTGCGATTTCCCAAATTCGCGTTGCGATTTTCCTAATTCGCAACGCGATTACGTAAATCGCAATGCGAATTAGGAAAATCGCAATGCGAATACGTAAATCGCAATGCGAATCTGACTATCGCAATGCGATTTACATAGCGCCATTCGTATTAACGCGTATTTTTTTTTTCAAATTCCAAACACGAATTTTTTCTTAATATATCGGAAACTGAACCGTCCACAGTAATCGCAACTCATAACCTCAAACCTAAAATTACAACACTCAGTCCCATCTCCATCTCTCACTCTCTACGGTGAAATCTGTCCCCATCTCCAAAGATTTCCGTCCCCATCGCCGGCGAAATCTCTCACAAACATTCACGGTCAGAAATCCCTCACAATCATTCAGAAATGGAAAATCAACCTTCGAGGGTTAGTTTTTTTAATTATTTTTATTTTGAAATTTTTGCATTATTTTAGGTTTTTCATATTGAAATTGATGATAAGTTTACTGGTAATTTCAATAATAGATTAACCATTTCACTTAGATTTCTTATTAAATTCATTCGATTGCTGCCAATACTGCTAAACTGTTTAGTATTTAACCATGTGAAGTTAGTATTTGTCTTTGTTTTGTCTTTTGGTTGAAGTAATGCAGAAGAAGAATAGTTTCGAGAATGAAAATCGCAACGCGGAAATGACTATCGCAAAGAGAGAATCGCAACGCGAAACCAAAATCGCAACGCGAAACCAAAATCGCAACGCGATTTTCATTTCGCGTTGCGATTCTCTCGTTACGATTTTCATTTCGCGTTGCGATTATCTCGTTGCGATTTTCATTTTGCGTTGCGATAGTCATTTCCGCGTTGCAATTTTCATTCTCTCGTTGCGATCTTCATTTCAACCAAAAGAGTGTTGCAAATTTTAGTTTCAAGAATAAACTACTATTTATGTTTATTGTTTTTGGCATATCTTCACAGTGTAGTTTTTGGTATATCTAACTTGGTATGTTTATTGTTTCTGTAGAAATTTTTTTCGGCTTCATTGACATTAAGGAATAAAGTTAGCCTAGCCACTACAATTGCTTCGAAGCTTTCACCTGCACAAAGAAAATTGTTTGAGGAAACCTGTTTCGGGCCATGGCTGAGAGTACAGCATCCGGGTGGAGATGCTAATTTGACCCATTTGTGGCTTCAGACCATGATTAGCGATCTACCCGACAGTATACAACGTGGTGAGGAAGAGATATGGTTTCATTTTCCACCGGCGTATACTTGTTTTGGGCGGAAGGAGTTCTGCTTAATCACTGGTCTACGATTCGGACACGATGATGTAGGCCGGTACACTCGTCATATCACCCGCCCATCATGGTTATCCACGGTTTTTCCTGATGAGTCAATAGAAAAGCCAAACTTACACGTCGACGACTTGAAGAAATTGTTTAATAAGAAAGATGGTTTTACTCGGATGAATGACGTCGATGTTGTCCGAGTATGCCTTCTACTACTTTTGTATGCCGGCTTTTTAGGTATAGAGGCCAGACAACCTATTCCTCAGGAGCTAATATTATTGGTAGAGGACCTAAATGCATGAAATCTGTTTCCGTGGGGTTCGTATATATGGAAAGCTACCTGGACTAAGTTGTCGTCTGCCTTTGATGACCGCAAAAGTTTGCGGGGCGATGGGTCGAAATACACTTTGTCAGGCTTTGTTTGGGACTTTAAGGTAAGAATTTCTATATAATGTTTTCAAAATTATAATTAATTATTTAACAATTACTAATGTTTGTTATTATATTGTTTGTAGATTTGGATATTCGAGGCTTTCCCCAGCATGCAGACATATGTATTAAAAACCTCAAATGATATTCCTAGGGCTATTTCCTGGAAGAGGAAACGTCTGTTGGATTGGGAAGACTTAATACCATATGCGACAATAAATAATGTAAGTTAACACAAATACTATCATATATAAACAATTTATTAATAGTAGACGTTTAACTTTGTTTGAGTTTTTATATTTTTAGGAGGCCAACACTCCATTAATGAGACTGACACCCACGGAGGCTGAGCTTGCCACTGATTGGTGGAAAGCTAGTCAGCGTTTTCTTGATGGCACGAATGATGAGCAGCCTCCACTTCCTCCACTTCGAGAGCCATCACCTCACTCAGAGCCATCACCTGATCGACCCGACTATACACCTCTACAACGAGAGCCATCACCTATCCCATCACATCATCGAGCCTCTTCTCCACCATCACCTCATGATAGGCGACCGGCAAAGATGCCACGACT